TATAATTATCCAAAAAAAAATAATAGTACCACCAAATTTATTTATTTTAAATAGGATAACTAAAATTTAAAAAGAAATATTATTATTATTATTATTTTTATATATAATATAATATTATAAATTCAGAATATTCTCTTTTATATATATATATATATATGTATGTATATATATTATCATAACTAAAAATTTTAATATACTTAATAATAATGTTGAGAATATTGTTATCTAAAAATATTAGGATATTACAAATAGCGACTGATTTTAGCAATTTAACGACCAATTTTGATGGCCGCTAAATTGCATATGTTTTGTAGTACATTTAATTTAAAAGATAACTTTTTTTATAAATGAGTTTAACTTTTATTATTATTAGACAAAAAAAATTACTTCAATTTGGTTGAAGCTTGGATAAGTATTTTATTAATAAATTTTATCAAAATTTAATAATGGAGAGTTTAGAGTAGATAAAGACTCAAACGCTATCTTCATTATTTTTATTGTACATAAAAAAATAAAAGCAACATAATTAAAGAATATAAATGAAAATAAAAAAAAAATGGTATAGTATGAAAACAAAGTAACAAAGGAAATTAGACAATTAAAAGGGAATCCTCCCCTACTACTTGTAAAGTAAAATCTGGAGGACTCATCTATCCTATATTAAAAGCATAATTTCTAACATCCATCTTACTAGGGTGTAAGTAGGTATGGATAATTTGTGAATTCAAATTGATACAAACTAATCCTATGAGTTTGGATTAAATTTTTTCAGTGTTCAGGTCAGACCCAATCCAATCCGAAACGAAATATGGTGTATTTTCAAAGAAAGTGACATCTGCACCAGTGTAAAACTGATGTGTAGCTGGAGAGTAACAGCGGTACCCCTTTTGAACACGGGAGTATCCTAAGAACACACATTTGATAGCCCTAGCAGACAACTTAGCACGTCCTGGGAAAATATCATGGACAAAACAAGTACAACCAAAGACACGAGGATAAACAGAGTAAATGGGATCCAATGGGTATAATAGGAAATGAGGTACTTGATCATTCAAGACAGAGGATGGCATTCGATTTATTAAATACCCTGCAGTAAGTACAACATCTCCCCACAACTTTGGGAGTGCATTGGCATTCAATAAAAGAGTACGAGCAGTGTCCACAATATGTCTATGTTTTCGCTCAGCTACACCATTTTGTTGAGGTGTATGAGGGCAACTAGATTGATGTAGAATGCCATGGGAAGTCATAAATGATTTGAAGCAATCTGAAAAATATTCTTTAGCATTGTCACTTCATAAAATCCGAATTACTTTGCCAAATTGAGTTTTGATCTCTGAATAGAAACTTTGAAAAATATTGAATAAGAACGATTTTTCATCAAAAATATCCAAGTACATCTAGAAAAATCATCAATAAAGGTGACGTAATACCTATGCCCTAAAAGAGAAGGAACTCGACTAGGGCCCCAAACATCAGAATGAATGACATCAAAGGGAGACACAGCTCGACTATTAATACTCTTAGGAAAAGAAGTTCTAACATGCTTCCCTAATTGACATGACTCACACTCTAAGGATTCCAAGTGTGAGAGATGAGGTACCATTTTCTTTAATTTATTCAAGCTTGGATGACCCAGGCGACGATGAATTAAACTAGGAGACTCAACAGATGCACATATGGTAGAGGTAGAAGACTGAAGGTAGTAGAGACCATGTGATTCATATCCGACTCCAACCGTCTGTCCCGTACTCCGGTCCTGTATCAAGAAAGAATTGGAAGTGAAGGTTATGGCACAATTTAGTGACCGAGTCAACTTACTTATAGAAATCAAATTAAAAGGACATCTAGGAACTAGTAAAACAAATTTTAATGGTAGTGAAGGGGTAGGTGATATTTGGCCAATACCAGTGGCTTGGACTTTTGACCCATCTGCAAGAGTGATATGATGTGGAGTTTTAGGTGATGATAGGCTATGGAAAAGGAAGACATTACCAGTTAGGTGATCAGAAGCACCAGAGTCCAAAACCCAAGGTCCAATAGACGTAGAGTGAGAGAGACAGACGGTAGAATTACCAGTGTGAGCAACAGTGACAAAGGAAGAGGCTTGTTGAGCTGCCTTCAATTGAAGATACTCTTTGTAATCATCGGTAAATAATGAGATTAGATGATTGCCCTCAGATTCAATCTTGAGCTCTAGAGCCGAAGTTGGAGATTGAGCCATGAAGAGAGAAAAAAAAAAGGAGAAAAACAACAAACAATCAGCCACGAAATTCCGAGGTAGAAACAAATCAACCACGGAATTGTGAGGTAGCAACCAAACCACCACGGAACCCCGAGACAGCAACCAAACAGCCACGAAATTCTGAGACAGCAACCAAACAACCAAGGCCGCAACCAAACGACCACCAACAGACCACCTAGAGTGTGACCCACAACCTGAAAAGGGTCAAAATGAGAAGAGGGTGGGCCGGCGAGTCCAACGGAGTGAACTGCGTCACAAACGGAGGTTGGGAGGGCGGCGCGTGAAACCCATGTGCCGGCGAGCTTCCTCAAAAAGAACCGCGCGAGAGAGCGCGTGAGACGGCGGCTGACGGTGGCTTGTGACGGAGAGGCCAATCGGCGACCTCTGAGTGTGCAGGCGGTGTCAACTCCAGCAACCGCGGACAAAACTTGAAAACCCTAGAAACCCTAGATGTTGGCGACTGGATTAGGGTTCCTGGACCAGAGTGCCCTGGACCAACTTGAATATGAATAATTTCTTATTATTGAATCTGAATAGGTACAATAAAATAAATAGGCATAAAACATAATCAATCCCTAGAGTTTAGGGATTTAGAAAAAACTGACTAAGGAAACTAAACTAGAAAATAGGAGAAGATAAACTAGTATATCTAAATTATATCTTATAGAATTATCTTAACATACCAAAGTACGAAACCTCAAAACCATGGTTATTTGTAGTACAAAACTCAATCTGCCCAACTTCCAACATGGAAAGGTTGGTCACTTTAAACTTCCTCCGAAATACACTGGGACACTATGAATACTCTTTTTACTTTTGTCGTAATGCACAAAAACAAAATCCACTTAACATCAAATTATAATGTCCATTCATATTAGAATGCCAACTAAGAGAGAGAAAGAGAGGGAGAAAGTTTTGAAGAAAACTGATATATTTCCATTATAATTCAAAATACAAAGAAGTCAGGAATTCATAGGAATGATTACACAGTTCAGTTGTAACTGAACTCTAAAAGAATCAAAAACAGAAAACTAAGAAAAGATACAATGCAGCACGTCTCTATAATAAGAGCCTGCACCTGCTCTACTTAAAAGTTAAAACGAAATAAAACTGTATTGATACAAGTGATATTCCAAGTATTTCTAACAATTCATTATTAACTTTCACTACAAGTCAGATATATTTTACAGAAATTACTTGTTTGTCATGCATAACAGCCCAAGTTAAATGATAGCTTGAAGACAACTTGTATGAGGAATTCATATAAACTATTCTAAACCTGACCCAGCATGCAACCAAAAGTAACAGGTCGATAACATAGGCAGGTTGTAAGTGATCATGTCACAGAACACAATCAAAACATGCCAGCAGGCATCATGCTTCACAAGCACTTTGGTTAGCACATCAAGTTTTCCACATAACAGCTGATGACGAGCCCATCTAGATCTTTCCCACATATAACGATTTTAATAAATTAAACCTCCTATTAAAAAGGCATATTAAAAGAGAAAACAAGGGCTACACAGCATCAGAATTCAGACCACCACATGGGCAGTATAAAGATAATGAGAATATCCACTATGGAATTAGAAAATTCCTAAGTAGAAGAAAGGAGTGAATTTGGTAAAAGAGTGACTAATGAAGAGGCAGACAGAGAAGTAGGTGGAGTAGAAGATTAGGAAGTTGCAGCCCCTCAACATTTTCTCATTTTTATTTGTTCTTTTTAAGCTTAATTCTAAGTGTAGTCCTTGACTCCTTGTATATATCTCCTCCGAGCCGATAACTCCTTCAGAACCAATGAAGGGGAGAAGAGTGGACTCAGTTACTATGAAGCACAAACACATATCCTGTTTGAAGTGTCGCAGTATTAGACACATTTCCGACGCAGATTTTGTGAGCTTGGACACTTTATTTTACCAACACCTTTATACAAGACGGACACTTGAGTTGAAATTCCATATGAATGAATACATACTACTATTATTAAATAATATTCATTTTTAATTTTTAAAAAAGTCATCTTATAATATAATATAAAATATTAAATCTTTAATCTTTCTGATTCTTTTTTTGTGAAACTTGTTATCAAGAAAAAACATAGAAAGTTGGTTTAACAAGGTGAATATACCTTGATATAAATTGATTTTCTTATTTTAGGATTTTTTGTATACAAGTCAAGTTCTTTCATTATAAAATTCTTAATGTCTTTTGCGAGACTCATAATTATAAGAAGGTGAATACACAAAAGTATGCAAATATTGATTATCAATTTAGATTCTCTGTTATGCTATTCCTATTTCATTAGTCTCTCTCTCTCTCTCTCTGTATGTGACATCCCGGTATCTTATATTTTAGACAATATCTATGTCAAAGTGTGTCTTGTCCAATGTCTATGTCAAAGTCTGTGTTCCATTGGTTACATTCAATTATATTATATCGATTTCCAGTTTCTATCATTATACATGCAATGCTGACCATAGGTTTTCTTGAGTGACTTTTATCTATCACAAACACAAGAAATATTTGGCATAGATCTAAAGATAATTATCTTGTCGTATTTCAATAAAATATTATTGGGACCAGAAATATAACCAAGACAAATTATTATGCAAAAGAAATATAACCAAGACATAGAAATATATATCACATACAATGGTGGCTAGTCTGCAACAACTATTAGACACATTACATTATCATGAACCAAAAGATCAAGGTGTAAGTCAAAAAGGATAGGTGACAATACACATACCGTCATTACTTCATCTCAGGTTGCCGTGACAAGAAAATTGAAAAGTGTCACCATTCCATTTGGGAAATCATTGAAATTGAAAACCAAATAGCTGATTTCTGTCAAGAATGATACTCCAAGAACAACATTTACATAGCAATAGTTCCATTTCAGAAGAAACATATATGCTAGTATTAAATTCAGGCATTCAGACCTTGATATTGACCAAACCCCACCCTTCACCCCCCAAGAAAAATGTCATTTTTAGTAAACATAATGAAATTACAATATTACATGAGCTTGAAATTCGCATGGGTGTGAAGGAAGATGCATATTTATTATTGGATCAAACCAACTACTACAGGCTTAAAAGAGATAGTTTTATAGATGATCAAAGGATACTCATTCTCAGCAAGATCTGTAAATTCCAATTCAGGGTTTCCAGCATTAACGATTCCACCAAAAATCTACATATAGAAAGATAGAAGATAAGTAATTTTATTAGAACAAAAAATTGGATAATTGGCACATAATAAAATGAATCCTCAGTTTAACTTGTAATTCAATGTAGAAAATGATCAAACACTACTAGCATTTCACTCACCTGTACACCAAGGGAGCAATAAATACATAAGACACAAAATATGATCCCTAGGTATGGCATCAAACTTGGTATGAGAGTCAAGAAAGTTGCCACGAAGGCTCGGTATCGCTTGACATGCATTAGAAGCCTTATTAGTCTCAACATTCTTGCAAGAAGAAGGTATCGAATCCTGTAAGGGGACAGGAATCAGGAAAAGCAATGTGTAATAGTATCTTTAAATAAATGTTACAAAGCCAATGGACAAACATTATTGGCACAACTTCCCATCTTCAAATGTATATACTATCTTTCAGACATGTTAGGAAAGAAAATGGGTCTTGTATCAAACTTCCTTTTCTTTTAATTCTAATTTTACAGGTACTGCTACATCTTTTTTTTTTTTTTTTGGTGAAGAAAATGAAACTTGGTCTGACACACCAAAATAAAATGCATATGTTAGCATCTATTACATTTACGCAAACCATTCGTAGCCTTTTGTCCTTCTAGGAAAGCACAAATAATAATAATAATAATACTAATAATAATAATAATAATAATAATAATAATAATAACAAGCATAATAATCATAATCATAATAATAATAATCCACAATGACAAATTAGTAGTAAAGTTGGATCAATAATGAGAACCTGAAACAATGCCTCTTTCCCATGATATAATTAATAATGATGACATGGAAAATTATATTTAATTTGTGACTATGATAATGAAGGCAACATAAACACCGGCATAATTACAATTGAGAACGGATTAGGCTTAATTCAGACCCAAAAGGATACCTCAACTTATAAAAGGGATACTTAATTAAAATAGCCAAATAATGTGGAATCCTAACAACACCCCACACCTGAGAACTGGACACTTGGAACGTGAAGTTTGGAAAATAATTTGTGCATGGCCCAGCTTTAGGAATGGGATATATGGGTAAAGTACTCCTTATACAGCCATGGCATTATTATTCCAAATGTAGGTTTTTAATTCATATTAGGATGAAGCAGTTCTAACTGCCACCTATTTAATAATTTGGTTGTCCTCTCTGGCAGGTTGTCTTCAGGTGTTATGTGTCTCTGATAGATAGTTAGTGGTTTCTGTGGTGGTTTGGTGGCTTGATTCAGGCGAGATGGCTTCTATGGAATGGAGGCACACAGTGATGGTGAGTCAAAGGAAGCAACGGGACCTCGATCCAGGTTGGAATGGCTGACAATAGAGTTTGGGCACACCAAAGATTACTAAGAAATTAAGGCTGTCCCAACAGATGGAAAAAAAAAAAGAGAGAGACTTCCAAATTGGAAGATCTAATACCAAGTCGAAAGGAATGATCTCAATTTTTTTTTTTTTTTTTTTGTATAATAAGTATATACATTTTATAAACTAAGTCTCATAATTAGTTTACCAGAATAGAGCCAAACTATGGGAACAAATCTATTCTAATTAACTATCCAAATAAAAGAAATAAAGTTACAAATAATCTGTACAATAAACTGAATTAAGTTCAAAACCCTAAAATCATAACAGTTCATCACGACACAATCATGATAAAAAAACAATATAAATGAAAACTTTTCATAAACAATTTCCTCCAAGATTAAATGATCTAACATATAATGTCATACCGTTCAAAAATCACACTATCTGACTAGTGGACAAAAGATGATGTCCAAAATTCAGCTTCATATGTTTTATAATTAAACTATTAATAGAGAAGTTTTTTAAAACTTCAATTTTAGGAAATGCAAAGATCCATCAATAGTATCTCTGCAACGTTAGTTAATAACTAATAACTCATTAATAGTAATTGAAAATCACACCTGAAATGAAAATGGACCACTAATGTGACCAAAGGAGTGTTCGGTAAAATAAATCCCAAAATTTATAACATTAAACATTATGTTTCATGTAGTAATTTGGATTTGTGAACCAAAAACAGAAATATTAAACATTCGAACATTCATAGTAAATGTTCATACCATTCTCCATTTGAGATAAAAGGAAGATTATCATTAGGTAAAGCAAAAGTTACAGTTTCTCCAATGGCTGCAAAATTTAGAATTATCAGTCAGTGCAGCCCATAGCATGGCCTAAAAAATGCAGTGTCCATATAAAATACAAATCCAGGACCTCAAATGAATGCAACATATTATGTACTAGAATAGCATAGTCTACACATTTAAGATTATACAATAGCAACAACCAAACCTTTTCCAATTAGGAGGGGTCAACTACATGGATCAAGTGACATCATAATATTCCATAATTAATGTATAAAAAAATTATAAAAAAAAAAAAAGAAGCTACTGACCTCAAATTCCTTCTTAGTGGTTTTGTCTCACTATTTTCATTTCTCTTAGCTAGGGAATCTCCTGGTTTACTCCACACATGCTCAAACCATTTAAGGCAAGTTCTACAACTTTTTTCTACATTAGGTGCTACCCCAACTTACTCTCTGATGAATTCATTCCCAATATCTTTTATGGGTCTAGTATGTCTATTCATTCAACGTAACATTCTCTTTTTTTGCTACATTATGTTTATTCTCTTGTTGAATTTTTACCGTCCAACATTCAATATTAATATCAAAGATATTATAATTGAGAAATATAATTTTCCCTTATGCTCAAAGTACTCTATTTAATTCACCCTGACCGAGTCCTATGATATACAGTTTCCTCTATTTACATGTAGACACCCAAGATTATCACTAATATTTCATGGTACGGTTTTTACAAGTCCAATCCAAATCATTTCAAAATGCTAAACCGATCTAAGAAAACTAAACCAATTAAACTGTTGCATGAAAAAAATCCAAAGCTGAAAAACCTACTTGTTTATTTTTACTGTGCAGATCAGTTTTTGAATCCTATTTTTAAAAGCAAACCAAACTGCATCACTTGTAATATTAATATACTTTTCTTTCTTACTTCCCCGAAAAAACAAGTCACCATCCCTCAAGTGACCATAAGAATCAATATCATTGCAATAATGCTAAGGCTGTTTGAGACCTTTAAGATGCTTGGGTGCTAAAATATCAATATCTCACCATTACCCACAAGAAGCAAACTCAAGTGCTTACACTCGGTTACTTTAATACATTTAAGTGGTATAGAAAACAAACTAGTCAATAAAGTAGCTAGTTCTTTGAGAAAAAAATATGCAAAATAATTAGAATAAGAGGAAAGAAAAATACATGTAAAATTCTGCTATTTAGAAAGTGTTGAGATATTAATGTATTATTTAAAATAACATGAACAAAATGAAAATAAATAAATAAAATAAATAAAACAAATCATCCAATCTAATCCAAACTTCTTTTAATCAGATTCAATTCAATTTGATTTGATGATGTAATCAAAACTAATCCAAACCAAACTGCAAATATCCCTTTTTCATGGTAAAAGCAAAAAATGAAATTGCATGCATTCAACCATATGTTGTTTAAAGAACAGAAAATAACAAGCAGCATAAATTAATTACCAATAATCACCGTGATAATAAAATCAAAGCGATTTTGCCCATCCCGCCAATAGTTCTCAAATCCATATGAATAAATCTTTAAAACCATTTCTACTACATATATCCACCCTGAAAAACAGCAAGAAATGATCAACAGAGAGAGTTAAAGTATATCATTATGTGCATTACAATAAAATAAATGCACCAAATCAAAATGAAGAATCACCATTGTGCTCAGAAACATTGTGGAGTCTTATTGACAAACCAACAAGAATAGAAGGGATAATAGATTCTAATAATTGATTTTATTTAACATGGAGTAAATAATGCTGATAAATTGCAAAAATAAAGCTGCAGACAAAAACTCTGAGCTACAATTATTTGTTCAAGCTAGCACAAAAACACATCATGTAAAAATAAGAAATAAAAAGAATATCAGCAGAAGCTAATCCCTATGAGATGCATTCTTATAAAAAGTATATGAAAAAGCAAAAGAAATGAAAAACAACTTCAGTGCAAAGAGGAATTCACACAGCAACATCAACACATAACAAGAAAGTACACTGTTTGGATATACTTACCAAAAACAAACTCAACCACTTGCCACACCATTTGAGCAGAATTGTTTTCTATATCAAGCTGCAATTGTGAATTAATACAAAATTATCAAAGTATAGATACACATAATCCTCGTGAATGTATTACTTCTTTTTTTTGGAGTTATGACCAGACCATATATAAATAAATATTTTATCTGAACATGTTGATACAAGTGCTCAACAGTACACTATAATGATCTTTCCAAAGAAAAATATGTTGCATAAGTAGAGAATAGCAAAGTTCACAATATTCCCACAACCACTAAAGCTGGAAAAGGTAGAAATATATCAGGATGCCAGTAGAACAATCAGCCATTTGAACTGTGGTTATATTTGAAGCAGCAGTACATAATGAATTTATTAAACACCATTCTTAAATGATTTTTAAGACAAACAATACCTACATATAACATTATTGAAGTGTGCAAGTATATCTAGCATATAGTCACATCAAATGAAACTGTAGGTTTTGGCTATTTCAATGAAAAACATGCCATACCGTTGTCTCAATAATAACAGCAACCAGATTAAGTATGAGAACAAAGGACACCAGGTATCCAAACATAGGGCTCTTCACAAATGCTTTTAATCTCTTTGAGCTGGGTGAATGGTAGAATGCTAAATAGTCAAAGTAAGACATCTGCAACATAATACGAAAGTATTACAGATGCTACAAATCTCCACCTTCCTAGTTACAGTTCACTTTGATGAACTTCTAAATGTTTTAAATTGGAGACTTTGAACTTACAACATCTTCCTTCTGAAATTTTAAAGCAATAGCATTGCAAATATCAGCAAATTCATCCATGTTGATCTGAAAGTAAAATTACAGTAACATTAAAACATGCACCTACACACAAACATCAGTATAATCATAGAAATAACCAAAACATAAAAAGAACAAATATTACCTTTATATCATGACTATCATCAAGCTCATCAAATATTAACTCAAATTCCTCCCTGGAGATTTTCGGCAAAGTCCTACAGAAAACACAAAATTTATGCTTCAACCTTCATAAAGCGAGAGGAAGATTATAAAAAGCTACAAAGTTTAGAACCACAAGCTATGAAGTACCGATACTTCAATTTGTTTCACGTATCCGTATCCGATACGTATTCGACATGATACTCTTGGATACTTCATCGATACGTGTCAATGAAGTATCCTAGCCTTTAAAAATATTATGAAAATTTTATTCAATTCCGATACTCTCAGATACTTCAGCGATACTTATTGGTGATACGTATCGATAAAGTATTTAAATTTTTGAAAAATTATGAAATATCCATTACAGCTAAATAAGATATATAAACATATTTAATATAGAAACATAGAAATATTGGTCTTTGATGAACTGTAAATGAAAATTGTCTTCTATATGGATAATTTTAAGAAGGGAATGAAATTGGTAATATTATTTCTATTTGTAAATAATAAAAAGTAATTTATGATGAAATAATTTATAATTTATTTATTTTTAATAATGTACAATAAGTATGTTTTTAATTTGGATTTGCAAAATAGTAAATATATATTTAATGTTTATGAATTTTGATCAAAATTACAAGTACACAATTATTATATTGTATGAACATTGATATATATGATGACACGTATCTTACATGTACATATCCTATATATTTTAAAATAATCGTATCGCCGTATCGTATCGGTGCATCATAGACCATAAGTGAAAGATTAACTGATGCTTCTAGTGTCACAAAAATATACTACCAGCTCATTGAGGAAACAAAACTCATTGCCTTTAACCAAAACAGAAGCCACAATGACAAGCTATAAGCAACACTATTAATAACTATACAGAAAGCCAAAATAAGTAGCTTAATTAGTCACTCTTTAAAGTTAGTGACCCATATTGTGAAGCTGCAAATGAAAGCAAATAAAGTAATACATCATTTAAGCAAAGCAATCTCTTCTCTTAATCATTAAAAGAAATTGCTGTCTTCCAACATTTTTCTGTGACTGATACAAAGTGTTGTGTGCACGTGTTTGACTTGATTGCTTGCCAAGAATTTTCTCTCAAGCTGATAATCATTCCAGCTATTTGACTAACCTATTTTTCTAGCAATTCGCTTTGGTTTCTCTAACATCTGAGTTGTCTTTCCAACTATAGGTTTTAGTAGATCTCAATTTTGTTTTCTAATTATTATTTATTTGCGCGGGGAGATGCACTGTTTTCTTGTAACAAGCTGAAAGCTTTAGTTTGAAAAAGAAGAGGGGGGGGGGG